CAAAAAAATAACGAACATTTATTTACAATCAGATTATTGAGAGAACAATTTTAAAATGAAAAAAAAATGAAGCACGTCGTTTATACGTGGTAGAACCATGCAGTTATATTAGAAGTATAGTTGTAGCACGAATGGGTCGGCTCAACCGGGGAAGAACCACGCTCTCACAGAATATTAGCGTAAAATAGTAGCTTAATGATGCTGTGTTTCGTATAGTGAGTGTAGAGAACCAGACACCCTTTTTAAAGGAAGCGAGGCATTTCATCTTAGTCCTCACGGGTGAGAACGCATGAGTTTTTCATTTATGTTCTAAGTTATAATTAGTACCTATTATTACGTCAGTGTTAATTATATTTATTGCTATTGTTTTTGTCTTTCTCAAAAAATAATTAAATTACCAAATAAATTATAAGGTGTTTTTTATATACATCAAATGTCTGATAGAAATGCAAGTACATATTTTGCTAAACTTTAAAATCAAAACCCAATTTTAAAACATAGACTAATCGATTATAACTCCTTTAACTTTAAAATAAGTTAAGTTCTTATTAATGGTATTTATCCCAGTTTATGATGCATGTAAAGAATAAATAAAGCTAACGATCGTATTTCTATTTACAGCCCCATTAATATCCACTATTCTTTTATAATTATTTTATAAAAACGTAACCCCCACACTTGGATTTTCTCCTGTATCGCGGAGGCAGCTTGCAAACATAAATTGCACAAGGACACACATCCAGACCCCAAACAATTATTTGTAGGATATACAAATACATGTTCCGTGCGGGATTCAAACCCGCGGCCCCCGGCACAGCTACTCATTGCTAAGCCACTGCGCCACGAAGCCGTCGTTCGTCCGCACATTGGCCCGAACCGAAGTAAACTGAACGACGTTCCAACGTGTGGACGCCGTCACCAACTCTCGGCCAATATATTCGCCACTACATTCGCCACTGTATTGGCCAACGTGTAGAGGCGACATAAAACGAGTTTGGGTTGGTAAAATCAAGGCAAACTTAGGGTAGGGTTGTCAATTATTATTTTGATAATAAAACTAGTGAAATTCCGCGGTTTTATATGCGCAAGCATGAACGTAGTTAGAACATAATATAACCTTTATGTTTTACATAAATATCCTAAAAAAACTTATTATTTTAATATTTTACTAAGTACCTATAAAATTAACAAGTTTATTGCATTTTTATTTGAGTAATTTTTTATGCAATTTCTTTATCTACGTCTATTTTTAGGAACCTTTATTTAGTCTGAATCATACATAACAAAAAAGTATAGTATATAGTTAAAAATAATCAAAATAGTCATTTTTATTAATTAGATAATATATTAGAATACATAATTCTAATATAATGCAACTAATATACCGAATAAAGAAAATTAAAATACATTTATCATTGTACGCCGTGTCTATTTCCATAGAATAGTTCATTGACATTGAAAAAATAATACTACGTTCGTAGCAGTAGGTGGCGTCTTTTGGCGATTTCTTACGCGATATATTGTAGCGAGCGTCGACAGACCAAACGCTCAAGGTCGTTCGATGGAGGTATCGCCTTAAGAGCGCATATTCAAATATGTCCAAGTCGAAATCTACGCGATCGCTTTGGAACGGCGTAATATTTACGCACACTACAATGTTATCTCTGTGTGCGTGTCAGGGCGAGCGTGAGGCTATAATAGGTCGAGACGACTACGAATCACTTTGATCTTTGATTATATACCTGTCTTTGATACTATTGGAACTAAAATAATAAAAAAATAATTTCCATATAATGGCTTATATATATTGTATAGAAATCGGAGGCTAATATGTGGAAATTGTTTTATTCTTTTAGTAAATTGAAGTCGGCTTTACATTTTCACCCTATTGAGTATATTATAATATGTTCTAATTGAAAAATATGTATTGTATAAAATATATATCATTTGATAAACCTTTATTCTGTTTCATAATGTAAACATAATTCATCAAACTAACAATTTCATTAGTGTCGGCGGGGATTAGTGTTGCCAGGTCTAGCAAGTAAAATTTCGGGACGGAAGGTAAAAATAATCGGGGATTTGGTTTTCATATCCGGACAACTACAATGACTACAAAATATAGGTTTCTTTGTAGCCTTTTTGTGCTTTATTGAGAGCCGTGGTAGCTCAGATGGTCAACGCTCACTTTAAATATCACAGTATGCGAGTAATGCGAGAAATTGTGACTGTAACTTTACTTTACTTTTGTGCTTTATAATTATTATTCGGGTCTGATCTCATAAACGAATAACTTTTCATCCAAACATCGTAAAAACTGATTTTTTTTAATTTTAGGCAAATTAAAACATTTTTGAACTATTTGTTTTTTTTTGCAGTCCCTGAATTTTTCAAATCACTCATTTTAATATAATTCTGTTTAAAACTTTTGTGGTTTTTTTTCGACTGGTGAGACAATGTCGTAGTTAAAATATTTTAATGTGGTAGTAGCTAACAGATGTAATCATTTTTGCTGTCAAAATTATGGAATAAAGTATAAAATAAGAAGGTTAGTGAAAATCGGGGGACATTTGGCGTCCCGATCAAGGGTGAATCGGGACGTGTTACTAGACCCTTGAAAATCGGGACGTCCCGCGCAAATCGGGACACCTGGCAACACTAGCGGGGATCGAGCCCGGATTGTTCGCGTTTACGGCGAGTACTACGCCCTTGAGCTACGCAACTCAAGCACGGCTCATATGTTTTATATATGGGGGCACGGTAGTGCCCCCGCCAAGTCGAGCAAAACAGCGGCACGGCCGTATCATCATTGCGAGACTTGGTTATTTTACAAGTTGTGTTTTTGATGGCATGTCTTTGTTTAATCATAACGTTATCTCCACACTAGGAATTTTTCCTAAGTAAATCGTGGGGGCAGTTTAAATACATTAATTCCACAAGGACAAACATCCAGACCTGGAACAATTATTTGTAGGTAACACAAATTTTTGTTCCATGTGGGATTCGAACCCGCGGCGCTCAGCGCTACAACTCATTACCAAGTCACTCCGCCACGGAGCCAAAGGTGAAAGCCAACGAGTTTGTATTTTTACTTGATCCGAATTGCTTACGTTCATTTCTCATTTCTAAAAAAAAATGTATGAACTGAAAATTTGCCACCATTACATCATTTAATATTTAAATATTACAATCATGAACGTATTTCAAAATTACTTACTACCATAAATATTGCTTATAAAAGTCTCAATCGTTAAAATGCTCGATGGTGCTATAGGTATCTACATAGTTATAGTATAGTGTACTATAGCCCTATCGGTATATCAACGCGATCGCGCGGTGTCGGTGAGAAAAAGTAATACGTCCTGCCGTTGGGATTACCCGGAGCGTACTGAATCGAACGGCGTCTGCGTATGATGATTTATAGTATTTTTAAAATAATTATATAAAATAATTGACAAAATAAAACGAACTAAAAATTTTTTTGGATATTTAACATTACATGTATTTTGATAAAATAATTAAAATAGATATGTTTATAACCAAATACATGGAAAAAAATTACATTGAAGTAGACAGTTTTGGTGATTTTATAATATTATTTTATAATATTAAATCGAAATATTTTCGTAATTTAAGTTTTGCTATACACTAAAAGACTATATATTCCATTATAATAACGCTTAAAATAAAGTATAGCTTATAATAATGGTTGTATTCAACCTGAAAGATAACTCTGATGCATATTTTCGTAAAACGCTGTGAAGGGATTGTCTTCGCCCTAAAAAACCGTCATTAAAAACTATGATTTTGCATTGCTATGTACTAAGTAAAGACTTCATCTTTCTAAAGCCCTAATTTTCAGTAAATAATCTCCTCACGTCGTTACGATATCGCCTTTGGAAAAACCATAAAACATGTAGTTTTCGACGCGAAACGCATATGCCCTCTTAAGTAGGAACTAAATAAATTAACCGACTTGGTATTACATGGATCTCACAACTTTTTACGGTAGAAGAACTGAGTTGCGAGACTTGGTTTTTTTACAGGTTATGTTTTTAATGGTATAGTAATTTCTAATAGGCTAATATCTTCACCTGTAATTATGTAAAAAAATTGAAAGTTAAATTTGACCAACTTCTCGATTTTCGATTGAGCTGCAGTTTTGATAGGTACACGTTTAGTTTGGATGACGCTGCATAGTTAGACAAATGACTTGTTCTAAATCCAATATGATGGACTCTCAACGATGGAGGACTAGTTTTCTTGCATACCCATGATATGGGCATCAAATGAAAGGGTTAGCTGAGAAAAATACCGAAAATAAAAGTAAAGCTTGTATTTTAGTTTTTTTTTAAACTATTATTATTTTTTCCGAACTTGCTGGCATAAATTAAACATTTTCAAATGGTTATTAACTAATAATTTATATTAACGTAAGTCTTACCCACAAACTAATAAGAGTACTAACGTACGTGGTCTTACCATAGAATAATATAAATATATTCGGAAGTTTCATAATTATATATATATATATATATATATATATATATATATATATATATATATACATATATGGAAAAATATGAAACTAGGACCTTGTAAGTTTAAGCTTAACATTACAGTTTTTTAACTAAACTTTAGTAATCAATTCGGTCATGTTTCATATTTTTTCCTTTAGCGGTTATGTATAATTTGATATAATCATATAATTTTAGTTATTAGATTAAATGAAGGAAATAATATTAGTTAAGGTGGAACCATTCAGTACGCCATCATTCGCGCGTCGCGCGCGGAGTTATCTTGCGCACACTATAATAAACAGTTGATTTATATTTACTGGCAGCACTGTAATAGTACATGCGTATGGCAATGATCGAAAGAAAATTGTCAAACACGATTGTGCATTTAGGCGATTGTGGGCCGTATTTTGAGCAAATCTTAAAAAATTTCTGTTGTTTTGCTGTAATATGCGGTTCATATTCTATATGCGGTAATAACAGTAAACCACCATAATAATTTAAGCAAACTTTGTAAGTATGCAGAAACATTCCCGTTTGTCGCTTAAATTTTAAAAGTTGAAAATAATCCCTTGTTTACACGTCTTCAATATCCATTTTCTTCTGATTTACAAAGGGGTGGATGCTTGTTTAAAAAGGGGTAAAATCTTTGATTTCAGTGTACGAAATGTTCAGAGAATTTAAGATATAGTGTCTTAATATGGTTATTATACATTTTAATATCATACCTTATACTTCTTTTAATTCCATTCACCCATTTTAGTAAATTCAATATACCAATTTTTATAAAAAATGTAATCTACAGGCAATGTTAAGATGATTCCATTAAAGGACAATCAAGATGTGGCATCATTCCTTGTCACAAAACATTCATGGAAGGGCAAGTACAAACGTGTGTTCTCAGTAGGCACTCATGGGATTACTACATATAATCCTGATCGTTTGGAGGTGACCAACAAGTGGTTATATGCTGACATCATAAAAGTTGCATCAGCTAAACATTCTAACTCTACATCCAACCATGACTTTACACTGATAATGAAGAAGGACAAAAAAATGGATTCGATGAGATTCTCATCAGAACATAAATGTCTAATATTGACAGAGGCTTTTAAGTATAGACATTTGTTTGCAGAACCGTTAAAGGATATTTATGTAAGTATTGGATGAAAAATGATGAAATACATTATATATATGTGGTAGAGCCATGCTGCAGTTATATTAGTAGTATAGTAGGGTATAGTACACTCTCACAGAATACCAGCGTAAAATTGTAGCTTAATGCTGCTGTGTTTCGTATGGTGAGTAGAGAACTGGAGACCCTTTTTACTGGAAATGAGGCATTCCATCTTAGTCCTCAAAGGTGACAATGCATCTGCATTTTGATTTGTAATTGAGGATAGATGTAGATGTCTATGGGTCGCAGCAACCACTTACCATCAGGTAGACTGTGTCATTGACATTTGTCACCCTATCCTATAAAAAATAATTTAGGTCCAGTTTACATTTGGAGAAGTGACAAGTGCGAGTGGCAAGTGCAAATGACAAGTGCTTAGTGAATATTTTATTCACACTTATCACTGCTTGTTTACATGCACTAAACACTTGTCATTTGTCAGTTGCACTTGCCACTTGCACTTGTCACTTCTCAAAAAATAACTGAGTGTCTGTTCTAATCAAGCTTATGAATTAGGGTGTACAGTGTTCATGATAAACAAGTTAGTTAAGTTATAAGCCAAATGACTGGCCATGCAGCACTCTCAGTCAAATGTGTTTCATTAACACCTTACCCATAATTATTTAATATGGCTCATGATACCTATCTATGTAAACTATTACTTCTAATATACATACTTGAGTATATGTTTTGCTGTGTTCTGATAAATTTAGGAACTTAATAATTTACTTAAATTTTTCTTTATTTAAAGAGGTATCAAGCATATAAACACCATTGGAGTGGCACTAGGTTGCCTATAGTTCTTGAAGTAGGACCATGCTCACTGGAACAATTGGACCCCTCAACACATACATTACTGGCCAGTTATCCATATTGTGATATTCAAGGTATTTTGCCAGTCCGTGATGTACCAGGTGGATTTGTTCTGGCTGTTGGAGGTTACAGCCGTCTGCATCTTTTCTCCAATACTATGGAGCATCAAGCTATAATAAGCAAAATGCTTGAGATGGCTAACTTGAGTCTCAATATAAGTATCAAAGTATTGAAAACAACAATTACTCTGGATGACTACCATAATCAGAGATTTGGAAAATATTGGTAAGAGGATAATATTTTCTTGCTATTTTTAAATAACTTAGGACTGTCTTATAGCAATAGTGTGGGTATAAAAATGTTACCTCACTCACAGTGATTGACAAACAAAAAGGATTATAGTGAGGAGAATCTCTGTAGGCAGTGGCGTTGGTGGGAGGGACTGCTTGAACTGTTTGATTTATTTTTTTATAGGATAAAAATGAAAACTATACTTATTATAAAATTTCTTCTTAACATGATCTAAAAAATGACAATCATTTTAATTTTATATAACTTTTACATTGTTTCATTATGTAATCTCTGGAACCTGGTATTGTACATTCTTTGCCATGGTCTGTCTAGATTTGCAAAAATCATATATATTTGTATTTGTAAATAATTGTGACATAATACAAGAAAAATAGAATTAATACCTAACTAACTAAAATATTTGATTGTTTCTAATTTAAATATCACCTTGAAACATTAAAATTTCAAAAATAAAAAAAAAAAATATTAAATAAATATTAAATCTTAAATAATTTTTTTTTTTTATTTTTTTTTTTTTTTTTTTTTAAAAAATTTTTTTTTTTATTTTTTTTATTTTTTTTTTTAATTTTTATTTTTTTTTTTATTTTTTTTTTTTTTTTTTTAAAAAAACACCCTTTCTTTATTTTTTGTGGAGGTATGGTTTATAAAAAGGCAGTCAATGTCAGGGTATTCAGAATGAATTGTTTCTGAAACTCTATGCAGAGCATTATGAGAATGATAATACTAATACAATTTCAACATTAGTGCCACAATATTCACCCCAGATGTGTTCTAAACACTATTACAATATTTGATATTGTCCTATAGTCAAATTTCATATTACATGTTTCTTATTATTTACTGAATTTTGTGGCTTTACTGGAAAATTAACAACATGTCTGCCTAAGAAGTCAATGGTTTCATCAAGAGAGATCCACAATTTTTCATGAGAAATAATATTATATATAAGTTTGTATTTTCTGTTTAAATAATTTATCTAAATACATTTTTCTTAGAATTGTTTCAAATAGGATGATTAGAACATTGACAGCACAATTATTTCTAAATTATAATTATATAAAATAAATAAATATTACATTTCCCGTGATTCAGAATGCATTCTGGGACCATTCTGGGATCCATGTTAAGATAATGTCACTAAATATCAGGAATAGCACTATCAATGCCAATCACTACTATTCTTACTAATCACTATAATTACTAATCACAGTTGGTTTTGCCATCCTGAAAAAGTACATATATTATGATCATGTATAAATGTGTTAAAAATCAGACCAAATACAAGTTATATAATAATATATCACAATCCAATCACTGAATAGTGAAATATATTTTGTAAGTCCTATTTTCAATATATCTACATGTTTTTTATACATATGAGTCACATACAATTAAGAACAAATAAAGACATAATTTTCAAACATTTTCCATATGAAATCTCATTTATTTTTACTTTGAATTTTAGCGGCGATCATCATCAGACGTCATTGAGCGAGTTTACGGTTCACAAAGTTAATCCGGCCCGTCATATGGAGCCAATGCGACGTACCCTCTGCCTTTCTGACACATGTATTCTAGAACGAGACCCACAAACATATTCGGTAAGGTGCAAGTGCCACATTTGTAATTGCATAAGTATTCTTCATTACTTCCAAAAGTGTAATTAAATTTTCTTATTACTTAAGAAATATTGCCAGCATAGAGTAACCATTTCTCTATCCATTTCTTCAGATAGGCAGCATAAGGTATCCATTTCTCCATTTTGTCTTATAGATGTCATATGATGCATCTGTGGACTATGCAAAAAAGATATAGCTTCCGAAATACCATCGTATAATAGTCGCGTCAAAGGTGCGAAACCTGGTACTTTGATTGTCAGTTTGCATGTCAAGCAAATTGACAGTTGCAGTACCATGATTAAGGAAAATCCTCTCAATATCGATCGTAATAAAACTCTTCTGTGATCTGTAAGGCTGTTTCCATATCAATATTTTATTCTTTTTAAGAAATTGTAAAGTTCTGTTAAATTAGTCATAATGCACAAACATAACACTCATCTGGGAAACTATGTACTCCGCCCAGAAGAAGTAAAATTGCTCACGGCTAAGCAACTCCTTCTTTTCATTGAAGACATATGGCTTAGCAGTGAACTATAGTCATAGCAGCGATCACAATAGATCTTTTAGGTCGCAGTGATACTGGTCTCTTTCCTTAGACCTGCATAGTTGCTCGCTCACATAATAATACTAATAATGAATTAGTCAAGTATTATAAGTATTTTGGCAATCCCATAAACTATAATAACTACTGACTAAAAACATAGTTTTTGGTAATAATATAAAAACTTATAGTTTATGGTAGCAATACTTGTTAAGGGAGGGGTTGAAATAACCACCGGAAAAGGCACAGAAAAAGTGGAAGTTGTTGAAGAGCACTGGTTGGTAGGTGGTATTGCTTATCTCAAATAACATACTGAGTTTAGTAATATCCTCCAGACTGAATTATGGTCATATACAATATGTAACGTAATTATCGCACACCCTCAGACACCCCAATTAGTATATTATGTTATAATCATAATACATACACTGAATTTTTAGTTAAACATTTTATGCACTGATTATTTATCAAATTAGTTATACTAATTCCGGAAGAATGTTGTGGTCACAGTACAAATCCACGAACGCAAAGACTTTAACGTGCTTGAAATAAAGTACGTTTTTCTTTATTTTTATTGAATGACTGAAATAGTAATAATACAAATGAAAATGCACTCTTAAAAGTCTTATTGCCTTAAGTTACGGTCCATTTCAGTTTGTTTTGACGGTACAGATTTAGTGTGACTGTAATTTACGTAGTTTTAATTATTTTTGGGATAAAAAATTACCTATATTAAAAATGATAGGAATCGATTCAGTAAACGATTCTGAACAAACTACTTTCTCAAAGTGCGTTAATTATGTTACGTGTTGTATATAGACCAGTGTTAACTCAAGTGTGTGTGCAAACACACACTTGAGTTCTCTTTAAGCACTTGAGCACTCTTCATTCCCTCATTCTCATAGTCTGATGGGACAGTAATCTGACACGTGGGAGGTCAGGCTGAGAACCAATGACCTTACATGCTCTCTGAGACACGGGTATGAAACACCATCAGATTCCTGAATCCGGGCTGCTACTGAGAATTTTTTGACAGAAAAACCCAATAACTGATTATAGCCCAACCACGGGCCTGGCACCTTATGATAATCAGTCGCCCTCACGACCTAAGAGTTACTTTTAGAGTCGGTACGACATTATGCATGGTTATTATTTATGACGAGTATAACTGCCTCTATGCAATGTTTGTGTGAAATTGTTAGCTGCTTTAACTGACCGCCGCAACTGCAATGCAGGGTGGTAGACTACGACCGTGTAATCAAACGATCACGACACTTAATGCGTCACAGCGACGATAGTCGGCTTGCCGCTCTTATTGATGATATCATGAGTAATTAGGTTTTTAGTAAGCTTATTTAAGGGAACATTGTGTTTGTGTGTACTTTAATTTTAAATTATGATAATTTATAATTTTCACAATTTAAATGTTCTATTTGTATTCTGTTTATATGTTGATACGCCCTGCATTAACTTTTTGGATTGGTCGAGGTTTTTATTACATATATGTATATTTGCAGAGTTTAGTTCCTAAAAATATGTTATGACAAATCCTTTATGACTAGGTGGTGTGCTTGCGCCCACTGAGTGATGTTTTCGCCCTGATCCGAGATCCTGATCATCCACAAAAGTTTGCTATTGAATATCTAAATGGACAAATTCGTACCTACCTAGCAGGGGAAAGGTAAGTTTGTTGAAGAATTATATTCAATACCTATTTTGAAAGTGGCAAAGCATTCAATATTTAGATAAACTCTCGTATTTCCAATTGATTAAATCTGGCTCAAAGGATCAACTCCTGTGTAGATTCTTGTAATATTCTACAATTATTGTGTATATTATAAATATTCTATTGTATAAACTTGTATGAAATTGAATGTATAAACTTTTAGCAATAAATTGCCACAACTTTCAACATTTTTTATATGTTAGCTGTTGTTAATCATGATTTGTTGTTAGCATTTTTGTTAAAATGTATACATTTGTTATTTCAAGCTTGAAGCATTTTTCATATTATTATTTATAACCAAAAGAATGTAGCTTATGATGTGCTAGCGACGAAGACAAATCTAATGATATATTGTACGCTGCAGAAAGTCACAAATGAGCGGACAGGCATACACAAGTTTGACAAACTTGAATATTAAGAATTATTACTAAACATTTAATATCTTCAGAACCTTCTAGAGTGAGATTTTGCCAAATTGAACCGGATCCCTATTACGATTTATTTACGACGAGATTTTCGCCTCTCATCATTACATCTAGTGAATAACCACTTTAGATGGTTCTTGGTGGTTTTGTTCAAAGGGATGCGTTATTAGCCTCGCTGGTGGACGGCGTGCGGTCGAGCGGGCAGCGGGACGTGCACGTGCGCTCTACGCTGACGCCGCGCGGCTACAGGCTAGGCCCGCTGCACCAAGCTGTGGACGAGGAGACCGAGTCCAATCATCTCAGGTGAGATTTATGCATTTATAAAGTGAGCTTGTGTGTGTAAGGAAAGTTACAGAATGTACACGCCCCAATGCTGCACACAGAACTCATATCTAAGAGTGATTCAGTAATTAGTTTGCCGAACTACTTCGTTATCATTTAGTCCGCAATTAACAATTTCATTGGTGCTGGCGGGGATCGAACCCAGTTTGATCGTGTACTAAGGCATTTAGGGCGATCGCTTAGCCTCTGAATTACCATGGCTCTTATTTGCAATACTTCATCTTGTAAGTTGACAGATGAAGTCCTAACGACTGACTGATTGTGGAAAAACCATCCATCCAAGCAAACTGCAAATGAATTAATTAATACCTTAATTTAATACCTTAAATAAAGGATACATTCGGAATCCATCCAATATGTGGCATTCAATGGAGTAGACCTATGTTCAGCAGAGCTTTTGATGGGCCAATGGTAAGTGGGTCCACTCAAGTCGATTTAGATATTTTTTTAACTAACCACCCACCACTGCTTTTTTGTGTACATACAAACATTATTAAGGTGCATTGTCATTTCTAAGTAAATAGATGGGTCATCTTTTACTAGCGATTTGCTCACCGATTCTCTTATTCTATCGCAGAATGACTTTGCTACGTGATTCGTATTCTATGAGATCCTGAAGGGTTGCTGGTATTCTGTGAAAACATTATATATTCCCATAGGACCAGTATACAGTTACTGAGTGGCCGAGACATTGGAAGTTTGTTGTAACAACGTTTTATATAGTACCTTTTTATATATATATATATATATATATAAGGGTGACAAACGAGCACACAGTCCATCTGATGGTAAGTGGATGCTGTGGCCCATAGACATCTACATTTATCCTCGATTAAGAATCAAAACGCAGATGCGTTATCACCCCTGAAGACTAAGATGGAATGCCTCGTTTCCAGTAAAAAGGATTTCCAGATCTCTACCCTCACCATACGAAACACAGCAGCATTAAGCTGCTATTTTACGCTAGTATTCTGTGAGAGCGTGGTCCTTCCCCATTCGTGCTACAACCATAATATAGCTGCAGCGTGGCTCTACCATGTATAAATAATATTTCATGTATATGTAGTCCTATAGGACTTCACACTGTAAAATGACATTCATCATTCTTATCACCCATAGACTATCAGTAGACTGTGCCCCAAAACACGTGCAGCAAAGCAGTGGGCCACCAGCATGCATCGACTATAGGGTCGTCATTCCATCTAGCGGAGTGCTGCCTCACACTCCACTTTTCTGTACAAGGCTGCCATTTTAGAACATTTCTTACCCATTGATTGTCGGGTCTCCGAGCTATGACGCTGAGCTTTATCGGGTATTCTGGTTTCAATGTGGAGAACTTTGCTACGGGCCCTATCACGCAAAAAAAATCATCTTATATAGCTTGCTGATAAAGGACCTAAATTTTCGTGGATATATGATATTTTGTATTTCTACATTTGATAGTACTTTTTAATATATGAATTAGAAAATTGTTTAAAAAAATATTTAATCAATTATCGTGCGCGCTTTTTAGATTGTTTCAGAATCCAGTCGGCATGTCGAGAGCTGAAGTGATAGAACGGTTTAATGCTAACATTGGATACAGTGGCTTGATATACTCCGTCAGCCAAGACGTAAGATATGGACTAATTAAGTGTTATTTTCATTTGTCGCATATTGTCCTACTGTTTGCATCTTGATAAAAACTAACAATGCTTGAACCTTTGCTAATGTTGTCATTTATTTGTTTGTTAACTCTGCTCCTGTGTGTGTGCTACTTTTACCAATGTTTCATTGAAGAAAATTTTTGTGTATTTTGTGGGATTTTAATAAATTAATATATTGACTGCATCCAGTTTAAAATGGTTTGGATCGTCGACAACCGAGTTCTTTCTGATCGGCTTGATTCACCAGCCCTGCAGAGGGATGTTGCATCCCATTGTATTTTCTATCGCATCTACCACGGGGAGTGCTCTGAGGAATTTTCCGGATTAATTCCAGCGGCCGAATTTCACAAACGCATATCGCGGCAAGATTCACGATACTATCCACACCACCTGGATACTTGGCCGTTCACCACTGTGAGTTTTACTAGGAGTTTTTTTCCTGGTACAAACTCTTTATGGAATTGTTTACCACCGGCGATTTTTCTGGACCGACATGATTAAGGGACCTTCAAGAAAAGAGATTACTCTTTTCTAAAAGGCCGGCAACGCACTTGCAATTCCGCTGGTGTCGCGTTTTTTCACGGGCGGCGGTAGTCAATTATTATCATGTGAGCCGCATGCTCGTTTGCCGCCCATCTATAAAAAAAAATAGGAAAGCAGTTGCACGAAATAAGTAATAAATTTTAATATCATAATAATAAGTTTTCCTTAAATCCAACGTGAGATTAAAATACCAACAACACCTCCAGTATCTTACATTGGTAACGGTTTTTATTCCGCTTATGTTAGCTTATCATTATAAGATATCAATTGAAATTGTATGTTCTCTAATAAGTTTCACCTACAAATAATACTAAATGTATTTCAAAAAGTAAAAACTTATATTCAGTGAAGATACGTAACCAGTAAATTCCCAAGAAATAATATATTTTATGCTACTATAGTGCAACAAATCTTTTGACATGTCATATATTTCATACTGCTTAACACTTATTAATAACTTCATACAAGCACACTCACACGATTTCAAACAATATTTAACATTAAGTCAAGGAATGATGAATTTGTTTGTATTACATTACAAAGTGTATAATTCTTAATCATTAATTTACGTTTAAAGCAAAATGAATAAACTTTTTAACCAGAACTCAAGTGTAGTCCAGTAAATCGAACAGAGAAAATGTATTACTTGATTTGTTGCCACTTTGTTGCACTATAATTACTAATTATGTACTAGTACTTAATATTATTGTAGTATCTTCATTTTAGAACATTTCAATTTTAAGCTTAACATAATTCCATTATGCTTTAAATGCCATTAATGTTTTACTATGACTATTTCCCATATTATGAGGTATTTGAATAAAGATCTCTCATTCAAATGTTCATTGCAACTTCGGTAATTTCTTTTCTTCTTTATGACCATGTAAGAGTCTACTATTGGGCCCATTTAACTCTAAGGTGAGATCATATTGCAGATGGGTTGTCACCCCCGGGGACTTAGATGAAATACCTTATTATTTCCAGTAAAAAAGGTCTGCGGTTCTCTACACTCACCATACTAAACGGTAGAAATAATCTACTTGCACCATACGAAAGACTAGAATTATGCCGCTAATTTACGCTAAAATTCTGTGTAAATATCGTTTCTCCTGGTCCAATTGACCTGCTCTTGCTGCTGGCACAATACAGTTACAGTTTGGCTTTACCACATACCTGTAAAATAAACGAACAAATATGTATACGTAATAAACGAACAAATTTAAGCTTCCTGCTAGTTTACTTAATGTGCAAAAAGCTATGCCTAAAAATAAAATTTAAATTTAAATTATAGTTTTAATGTTCAATTTAGTTTTTTATTGCATGCTTAATAATGTTGCAAATATATAAATCTTAAAGCAGTATTTTAAACAACATAAAGATGGTTGTCTTTACGCCTGCTTTACTATTTTTTATTTATATTATTTGTAAGTTAAATTTTGTGTTAGTGTGTCCTATGGGGCATGTTAATTTTGTGTTGTATGCGTTGTAGGCCCGTCCCCTGTTGTGGCTGTTTCTTACATGGGATCTCGTAAGTCCCCATAATGTTTATTATTTTTTAAACCTTCTCTATGTTGTGTAAGGTCTTGGGTATTAACGATGGTGAAATGTCAATGTTAATTCAGCATCTCTGGCAGTTAAAATATCTTTTTATGAAAAAGTAGTAGATCATATTTGCTGCATTTCATTTAATATGTTTGATAATGTAAACAATCGATTGGGGTTTTTACACTGTGTCTGTACATGTATGTCTTGTCACAGTGATATTAATTATGTATACATAAATATAATATGTAAAGAAAACTGTAATTTGTCGATCCGAAAGAGGCACATAGTTACCGTACTGAGTAAAAAAAAAAAAAGAATTAAGATATTATATTATAAATGAATAAAAATGTTATTGTTATTTAAATATGTTTTTTTTCTACATATTGCTTAAAATTTGGCAAATATTTAAAATTTGACAATATCGTCGCGTCGTCGACAAATTACATAATAAATAATTAACAGAGGGCCGCCAGCTTCACATTGTATTGTCATCTAAGATTCCCTATTTGATTAAATTATATTTTATTTTTGTGGGATAGTTTTTATTTATTCTATGTATAGGATTACATTAACAGGATCATAAAACGATACCTAAAAGCACTCACACGGATTGGACAGATTTTCTTTTACGTATTATATTTAAACTGTTGCATTTTGAAATATCCTAAAGTTAATTAAGTGGTTGAGAAGTTAAAGTCCATAGTCAAAATTTCTTCGCAATCAAATCATACATGAGTAGTTTTTTGTGGCAATAGCAATAATGTAAATAAATAGCTTATAATTAAAATGGCTTTATTTTACTGGATAATAAATACAGATATATATTTATACAATTTCTGTGTTGATTCTAGAGATTGTTTGCTGAAAACAAGGAGAAACTTATCACAGGCGCGTTAACCGCATTAGTAAGCAGCGCGCCATCTGGAGCGGATTTGACTCCGCGTGAGTTGGAGGCTCAGTTCCACGCATTGAGGCGACTTTGCGCAAGCAAAGTTGGTTTTGCTGCCTTTACTGCGTTACCGGGGTGAGTCCGGTTTGGTATTATGTAAAATGGCTAGACGCATGTTAACCCTTCAAGTGCCATAAAAATCCCATGCAGTCGCATGCGCCCGGCAAATCCCGAGCGGTCGCATGCGACCGCACTCAACCACAGCACTTAAACCCATTAAAACTTATATTTAGAGACTACTTTTCCATGAAGAAGTTTAGCATTATAAAATCTATATAAAATTCTCCATATTGTGGTCTAAACAAAAGTCAGGTTTTACTTCATTACAAAAAGATTTTATTGTATTTTGATAACAAAAAAAAAAACATACCGAATGAAAAAACAAAGTGAATGTTGGCAGTGTGAAAATCACAATTATTTCAATATACAGGATGTTAGTGTAAATACCGTTGTCCTTGAAACCAGTGGTATGGTTTCACTTATAGAACGTAAATTCAATGAAGTTTTAAAAAAATCGCTATTTTCTTTTATAAAATTTAAAAAGTTTCTGTCCGACACTGTCCGTAAATTCATGGATACCCTATGCGCCCGAGTGACTTAATTACTGTAAAGATCACCGCCCGCGCTAGCTATCTACAACTACATTCCAGTAAAAACACAATAGGTACACATAACCTGTGATGTAACTTTTCCTTCATACTTTCATCCTGGCTTAGGACAAGCAAAAATTGAGGAATTATGGAAAAATTGAGATTTTACTAAAAAAAATGTTGTTATTTTTCATTGAATTTACGTTCTATAAGTGAAATCAAACCACTAGTTTTAAGGACAACGGTTTACACTAACACCCTGTATATTACTCGCAATTATTTACGTAAAAAAGATAGATTATATTCACACAAAAAATTTAAATAATTACAATTATATAATAAAACACTATACTAAAACACTAGAAAAATCCAAAAATCAACACAATAACATTCACGCGAAAATGGCTTACGAAATGAACGTAGATTATAAATAAATATTTATAGGATAACAGTTTTTTTATTGCACTAAAGGATAGAGTATTTCATATTAATTGTATAATGTTAAACTTCTTAATAAAGAAAAGTAGTCTCTATATATAAGTTTTTATGGGTTGAAGTGCTCTGGGTGGGTGCGACCTCATGAGACAGACATGCTAGGGATTTGACGGAATACGGCCGCGGTCTCATGAGACCGCTAGGGGGTTGAGAGGTTAAACGTTTGGTCGAAATTATTAAAGGGTTTTTGGAACGTTTGCACCCACTTTAGTTAGATTAGCATAGTTACGAATTAAGTTCTTTACATTTATTTAGGATTTAGTTAGTTGCAGCCTGGAGTGAAGAAGTTGGCGGTGTACACGGACTATTTGAGGGAATGGAGAGTGCATTTGTTGTATTTGTGTATGCGTATACATTCGGTCACTATAATCCTGTCGTGCGCAGATGGGCTAGTCTCGATTGAAACTGGCTGCCGTGACCGAAATTCGGTCTAGAGAATATTATTATTATTTACTGTTTATATAGTATTCTCACCTGGTTGGGCAGTATAAATATACACGGTGTAATAAGAGGGGCGCATTATCGGCGGCTGAAGGGTAGGAGACCTCATTACGTATCGATTTAACCATCCTGTATGTTCTGCGATATTCAGTAGTTCAAAAGTTATAAGGACTGGTATAATTTTAGTTAAAATAAGATTTTAGCCTAAACTTCGCAATTGGAGCCAAGCTATTAGGTCTGCAACCATGATTTTTTTCTAACAAGATAAACAGTGGGCCTTTTTTACCCTTCATCAATCAGAGGCTTAGATTTATAAAAATCCGAATAAAAATACTACAGTCAATTTCCTTTCCAAAATGGTTTATATTAACTTTCTATGGTTCAAAAACAATTTCACACATTATTTTTTCTATAACCTACTACTATCTTAAAAAATATTGGTATTTATGAAGAATTAACCCTAAAAATTTCATTTGGCTAGTACTGGGGCATCATGTTGAAAAATGTACTTAAATAGTCCATGTGCAGATAATTGACATTTTTTCTTTGACTTGAAGTTTACTAAAACACATAAGATTATTTTGTTTAGCGTACGTTACGTTAGTGGTAAGGACAACAATGAGTCAAATAAAACACACCACACGAATATGTACCGTTAAAATAATATTTAATATGGTTTACCACGTGCTCGGTGATGAAGGAAAATATCGTGAGGAAACCTGCATGTCTGAGAAATAAGAAAAATATTTAGAAAACATGTCAAGTTCCCAACACGCATTGGGGCAGCGCGGCGGAGCTTTCCTTACTCTAAAAACTCTCAGAAATGAGTGGCCTGTGCCTAGCAGTGGGATGTATTGGACTGTAACTTTGACTTTAACCATATTACGCTCCGCTAGAGTGATGCAGTACAACCAGTGCGTGTTGCCAGTGATGACCTACGGAACCGAGACGTGGTCCTTCACTGCTGGCCGTATGAGGACGTTCAAAGACGCTCAGCGAGCTATGGAGAGGACTATGCTCGGAGTTTCTCTGCGTGATAAACTTAGAAATGAGGATATCCGCAGTAGAACAAAAGTGACCGACATAGCCCAACGGATTAGTAAGCTGAAGTGGCAATGTTCCGGCCATATAGCTCGAAGAACCGACAACCGTTGGGGAAAAAAGGTTCTCAAGTGGTAGCCTCGTACCAGTAGGCGAAGTGTAGGGCGACCCCCCACTAAATGGAGTGACGACCTGGTAAGACATGCAGGAAGTCGATGGAAGCAGGTGGCTCAGGACCGTGATTTGTGGCATACCTTGGGGGAGGCCTATGTTCAGCAGTGGAGTTGTGACGGGCTGTAATGATGATGATGATACAACCCTTCGATACTCTCCGATCCATCCGGTATTTTATAGAAGCTCCGTCAAATAAATTATAAATCCAACCAGATGGGAGCCATCGGGCAGGGGAGAGCAAACGCTGTTGTTGTAATTATTATTGTGATGGGACGGTGCGGCGCCAGGTTCCGCGAGTGGATCGGCAGCGCGGTGGTGAGCGCTCTGCGGCGCGAGGTGGCGGGCTGCGCGCACGCGGCGCTTGAGGCCGTGTGCGCGCTCATGCAGCCCATGCACCTGGACCCCGACCTGCGCCAGGAGCAGCTCAACAAGGCCAGCATGCTATCCTCGCCCGCCTTCCTCGAGGGCCTGCTCGCCATGTGGGCGGAACACGTCGTAAGTTGCACTAGTTCGCATTAACACTTATACTATTACTAGCTTGCCAGGCAGACGTTTTTCTGCCCTTTTCGACGGCCCTTTGTCATGTCCTATTAAAAATCCTTAAATTCTCAAAAAAAAATTGTGGGTCACTCATGGGCAAAAAACTGTCCTGTCTCTCAAGTTGGGCCGAACTGCATACGGTAGTAGATAGATAACTCTTTGTTGCATTTGAACAAAGTTATTACAATAAAGGAAAACTTATGACTACAAACGGTGGTCATATCGCTTTAAGCGATTTCTGCAATATAAAATAAACTAAAAAAAAAAAACTACTGGTACTGGATTCTCTTACGCCGCTACTACACGCCAACATACATACGTTAAAATTAGGATTCGGTCCACATTTTCTTGTTATAATATAATTTAAAAAACCACTAAAAGATATCATTTATCACATCTGCTTATTTTCGAACTACACTTCGTTTATTGTCATGCCGTAAAAGTTTATTTGATTAACATTAAAATGTCTAGTAAAATTATAAATTAAATATTTTTTTATAAAATAGTGTAAAATTTTAAAATTAATATTTTTATAATTTTTGTTTTAATAATAAATATGTTTATATTGAATAACAAATGGGTATTATTTGATTATATGTTTCGTAGACTTCGGGTAGCGGTGCATTGGTGGTGGCGGCGATGTTGGATTTCCTGACATTCGCGCTGTGTGTGCCGTACAGCGAAACAACGGATGGAAAGCAATTCGATCAGCTTTTAGAAATGGTTGCTAATAGAGGGCGAGTCATCTTCAAATTGTTCGAGGTAACAACTGAACACTAAGCAAATTAAAAATGTTACAGAAATTAAAAATTTCATCGTTTTTTTAAAACTAATATAAGCCAGCGATGACTACTACGAAGAGATAAAACCGAAATTGGTATAGCGTTTTGACTTAGCTTAGTGAAAGCCTATTCATTCTTGCCATGAAATCACCAACATTGTAATTGGATGGAAAAACTATGAAATATATTCAAATTATTACACTATATTGCTGTACGCGTTACAAAAGATGACGCTAATCGTTTTGGTTCAAATATAACGATTGGCCTTGAATTAAATGAATAAGAATTATTTTATTATGTATAATCTTTATTTTTGTAACATTTTAATATATATATTTTTTTTAATTTTAATATATTTTTAATGCTTTTAGTTAAGTTCTTCAGGTACATAATATAAAGATAATACACGCCTTATCTTATTTATAGTTTCTTATAAACAATCGTCAACTTTCCGTAACTTTCTTTTTTTATAGAAGAGGGGGCAAACGAGCATGCGGCTCACCTGATATTAAGTGACTACCGCAGCCCATGATCAACCGCAACACCAGGGGAATTGCAGGTGCGTTGCCGGCCCTTTAGAAAGGAGTAAGCTCTTTTCTTGAAGGTCCCCAGGTCGTATCGGTCCAGAAAAATCGCCGGTGGTAAACTATTCCACAGAGAGGTTGTACGCGGAAGAAAACTCCTTTTGAAACGTACAGTGGTGTACCGCCAATCATCCAGATGGTGAGGATGGTATCGGGACGTTTGCCGCGTAGTGCGTTCACGAAATTTGGCGGCTGGGATTAATCCGAACCATTCCGCAGAGCACTCCCCATGGTATATGCGAAAGAAAATGCAAAGAGATGCAACATCTCTTCGCAGCGCCAGTGAATCGAGCCGATCGGATAGCACACGGTCGTCGATGATTCGAGCCGCTCTGCGCTGGATGCGGTCAAGTGGAAGGAGCTGGTACTGGGGAGCCCCAGCTCAGAGATGGGAACAGTATACCATGTGCGGCCGATCCTGCGCCTTGTAAAGTTGCAGGCGGTGTGCCGGCATGAAATACTGTCCCGCTCTGCTGAGCACGCCAAGCTTTTTAGAAGACAATTTGGCCTTCTCTTCCAAGTGACCACGAAACTGCACGTCACTCGATATGTCGACGCCGAGGATTCCGATACTGGCTGAGGCAACAAGGGGAGTGCCTTGAAACTGAGGAGATACGACAAAGGGGTTCTTTTTAGCGGTTAACGCGCAAACTTGTGCCTTCTGGGGGTTAAACTGGACTAGATTTAGTCGCCCCCAATCCGAGACTCTGTCCAGCAGAGACTCGACTTCAGACACAAGTTTGTCCCGGTACTCGGAGAAGTTTTCCCGAGAAATATTGGCACAGTCGGTGTACAGAGCATCACCAGTGCTGTCATCTGCATAGCAATGAACGTTACGGGTTTGCAACATATCATTGATATGCAGAAAAAACAGCGTTGGCGATAGCACGCAGCCTTGTGGAACACCAGCATTAATAGGCTTGTAATCGGAGCTTGCACCGTCAACAACGACCTTGATGCTCCGATCTACAAGAAAGCTGGTGATCCAATCGCACAATTTCTCGGGAAGCCCATAGGATCGAAGGCCTTCGTAATGTCCAGACTAACGGCCAATGCCTCCCCCTTGGACTCTACTGCCTCCGCCCCTAGAAGATCACCAGCTGACCGACCATGGCGAAAACCGTATTGGCGATCACTAATCAGCTGGTGATCCTCAAGGTAGCTCATGAGCTGGCAGTTAACAATAGACTCCATTGTTTTGGAGAACAAGGAGGTGATGGCGATAGGCCGGTAGTTGGATGGGTCGGAGCGGTCGCCTTTTTTAGGGATCGGTGGACGAAAGTATTATAAATAACAAAATATAGATTATGTACCTACTACTAGCGACATCTCGTACCAAAGTGTGAACAAATGTTGTCAATGTGATTCTTTACTTTTGTATTTTGAAAATATACTTCTGTTCACTCTTGTACTCGCTGAGTCACGTTGTTTTATTATAGGTTATGGGCCCAGGCCGCTCCTGGCTCATAAAAAGTACTTCTCAAGTTCTCGCGACATTATAATTATTGATTATCAGGACATCGATAATAATAATTCGTGGCAGAATAGGACTAAGTGTGTTGAGTTGTGCAGATTTATTGTGTCGTCAGGCATCAGTAATGGCGTTCAGTTCGAACTATCACATTAGTTTGCCGAAACTGCAAGGGCGCGAAAATTACAGTGAATGGTATTCAGTGAATGAATACTCGAGCGCGAGCGTGCGAGACGGACGTGTTGCTGATTATTCTTAAAAAATAAATTGTAAAAGTCAAACTATTTTCAGCCTTTACCTCATATCATAAAACTTGTAATTTACATTACGCGTGTGCATTGTGTTTCTACTTTTTACTCTGCGCGTGACCAGTTGACGACCGGCGGTAACCGCTCCTCACCCCTCGGGTAAACGATACGGGCTCCAATTTCTCGACTCGGTCAGAAACCAAAGTGTTTGTTACATTGAAGTAAACATGAATGTACTTCGATCACCTACTGGAAGCGACACGAACTTTGAGCGTCAATCTCCGAACCCTCAACGATTACTTTTCGTAATAAACGCAAGCATTCCGACGGCAAATGTGATCAGGTCCAATGTCAACTCTCTGATATTCAGAAAAAAATTACAGAAATGATGACATTCTTAACTTCATCAATTAATGCGCAGAAAGAGAGTGCTAATGAAATTAGGAATGGCATCGCAATGTGAAATTCAAGACATTAGAGATGCTATGCGATCGACAAATCAAAGTAACATTCAAGACGAAATAAAAAGTCTTAAAAACTTTGCAGAGAAAGCTGGGGATAAATTTGTGTCACTGGAGTCTAATGTAGAAAACTTAAAAAATCTACCAAGCGATACATCTATAAAACCCTCCTATGAAGAAATACTGTCTGAATTAAACGACCAAAGCATGAGAAATAAGAAAATACTTATTGCTGGTATTCCTGAACGTCAGTCAACGGACGCCAAGGAACGTATTGATCTAGACAAAATTAAAGTAGTTGATGCTATCAAAAACTTACTCAAAGACTGCCCTGAACCCAAAAAAAAATGTACGCATTGGAAGATACAAACCAGGAACGAATCGTCCAATAAAAGTTACATTTGAGTCGGAAGAAATTGTAAAGCTTATTGTTAAAGGAAACATAAAAGATGAAACGTAGAACTGAAGAGGGAGAAGAAAATATACGTATTAAGTATATTAAAAATGTACCAAAAATTATTAAAACATTACCAAAAAAGTTCGATGCGTGAGTGACAAAGCAAACGAACATAACACTACTTTCCAAATAACAAACAATAATTATATTAACCTTATAATCAATAAACAATCTTTAAAATTCTTATACGCAAATACTAGAAGTATCGTAAAACCTGGAAAATTCGATGAATTGAGGTGTGTTGTTGAATCTTTCAAATCTACGATACATGTGATTTCAATTACCCGGATATACTCACCAGTATCAGCACAGACAAAATGTAATTGGCAGCGGAGTATCAATATTTGTCCACAACATTCTTAAACATTGCTATGTTGATGAACTCGAAAAAGATGAAAACCAGTTCTTGTGGATACACATAGATAAATTCTCACTAGATATTGGCGCAGTATACAAGCCTGGTAGAACAAACGTTACAAAATTTCTAGAAACTCTTTCATTACAACTACATCATAAAAAAGAGCCGTAGTATTTGGTGACTTTAATCTGGACCTGCTTAACCTGGACAGCTCAGTTGAAGAATATAAAAATACACTCCTAGAATGCGGCTACTCATTAATTAATAGAATATGTCCTCAGTATTGTACGCGTGAAACATCAAAAAGTACAAACTTAAAGGAAAACAAATTCCATCTGGCAATTGTTGAATCGTCTATGTCAGACCATAAGCAGATTTTTTTTTTGAAATAAAAGAATACAAACCAGAACCTAAAGAAAGAATAGAATATGAAGCATTAGATTACAAAAAACTATATGAAACGATAGAAAAATCAAACGTAGAATATACCGAAAACAAAGAATACACAAGATTTGAAGAAAAACTTATGAAAAGTATAGAGAATTGTAAGGTTAAGAATGTCAAAATTAAAAATCCACCGAAACAGGAATGGATTAACAAGGGAATAATTAAGGATATTACTTATAAAAACATACTCTGGCAATAATACAAACGCCATCCAGAGAATAAACTCGCCAAGGACAACTTTCTAAAACAAAGGAACCTAGTTGCTAATAAAATTCAAAGAATGAAACAAGAGTACTACTACAAGAAATTTACAGATTATAAATGCAATCCAGCCAAGATGTGGAAATTAATAAATAACCTCAGCAATAACAAATTTAGAGAAATATCGATACCACCCAAATTACTAATAGGAGGAACTTCGGTATCCGATACAAAAGAGATCTGCGAATGTTTCAACCACTTCTTTTCATTTATTGGAGCAGAACTAGCACAAAAAATTCCCCTTCAGTACCAAGATAACAGAATCTTTACAAATGCAAAAGTTAACAACAACGATAAAAGACTAACGGCAATGGCACCGACTTCAGTTGAGAAGGTAATTAAAATAATAAACAACTTGGATCCAAATACCAGCTCGGGCATTGATAACGTTAATACTAAGTCCATAAAATGCGTAAAAAACCTTATAGCTCCAGAACTAACTCGATGCTTAAATACTTGTCTAGAACAAGGTACATATCCCAGTAGTCTCAAAATCGCCAAAGTTACACCTATTCACAAATCTGGCAGCAAAACCGACCCCAGCAACTACCGGCCTATATCAGTTCTTCCCGTTGTCTCTAAAATTTTCGAGAAAATTATTTATAACCGACTTGAGACTTATTTAAACTCTATAAATTTTCTTTATCACAAACAATATGGTTTCAGACCCAAATCTAGCACACTATCAGCGAC